TAGAGCAACGAGTTCTGTGCATGGGAACCAAAGTAGCGCACTATACACAGTTGGGAACTGAGCGTGGTATCGAGTTCATTTGGATTCGACTCGGGACCAGAGGGGCATGGGGGATTAATTTTCCCGTAGCACGTCATACGAATGGGAGCTGAGAATAGGAGATTAGAAGCAACGAGCCCGGTGCAGGGGAACCGAAGTAGTCCACTATGTACAGTTGGGAGCTATGCGTGGTATTGAGTTCATTAGGGTTCGATTCGGAAGCAGAAGGATGTAGGAGACTTCCCATGACACGTCATACAAATCTGTAGTGCAATACTCCATTGGCGTGCCATGATGCTGCTTTCTCTGAGGGATCTTGTATTGCCGAATGAATAGCGGGATTCATAGCGTCAACCCCGGGGAAATCTACTCTTGGAGGGGTATCGAGCTCGTTTTTTTTACTGAAGCTTCAGCAAGAGGGTGGCGTGTTGACAGAGCATCGATCTTGAATCATTTGTAAAAATTCTCGAGTGTCGTCTTGGGTGGTTCCTGAGAATTTCCCCGATTTTTTTTTAATAATGCCTTCTGTGGTTCTGTTTTTTGCAAATTTCCCATATCCCTGACTCCGTCATCGAAATGGCAATAATGTTTCCTCGATTATTGTGATGGTTCTTGTTTCAGTTCTATCTCATTACCCTCCTATGGATCTCGTAGTCTTAATCGCTCCTTTTGCTTGCCCAAACGGCGCCATAATGCTAGTAGCGTGGATACCCTCTTTTGACCCTCAGGAACTCCACTCTAATTGAATGCGCACTATATCAGGAATATGGCTCTTGTCATGAATCATTGCCGTTGAGAATGAGTTGGATACAGGTAGTATTTTCTTTCCCTTTCCTTTCCTTTCTTTTCCTCGGAGTCATGAGCATCCCTTTTCCCTTTGCAGTAAAGGATGTGGATGACTGCGCAATCCTCTGACTAGGAGCTCTGAGGTAATAAAATGCTTTGAGATGTCTTGGATTTTCAAACGGTCCCGGTGTGGGTGAGGCGTCCTTTAGAAGAATGGTCCTTCTGATGTAATATGAAAAGATTCCACGTACCGGGATACACAGCTCGCCGCGGTTTGCGTCGCGGTAGCGTTATGGTTAGTTAAACACACGCACACACACACACTCAGTTTTATGTTTGTGAGTCTTTCTTCTGTTGTCTGTTCTTCCCCTGATTTTTTCTATCTTTTTTTGTGTGCCCAACTGAGCACCCTTAAGTAGTGCCAAACAGTCGGTGGTTCCTCGTTTGGAGTGCCTACTGCACTCTTATGGGGGCTGCTCGGTTCGGGATGTCTGTGTTGCCTGTCGGTGATGACGGATGTTCGTCGGAGTAACTCCCTGGCTCARTGGGTGGTGGGAACCAACAGTCTGCGRGGTTCAATCGTGGTGTGAGTAGGTCATGTGCTGCTTTGCTCCGTGYTGGATGTGTGGGCGTCCTCRTCTGCGCTCCGCCGCKGCCCTGCTGCCTGTCCTGCTTGCWTYGYGTGTGGTTCTTTGCAGGTTGRTGTGTTCGCTGTGYGGTGTGGCTGTGTTGTTGGTGTTKCCTTGCGCTTCGCTGCTCCGCTGCCGTGCTGCTCATCCGCTGGCCGTGCCTTTCGTGCTTGCCGCTTGTGTGCCCTGTAGGTTGGTTGCCTTGTTGCTGGTACCTTGTGTTCCGCTCCACGGTTGCCGACCGTTGCTATGTTCCGCTTGGGGACAGTCTGCTTTCAACAAGGGTCAAAGGGTTCATGACCCAAACCATGAAATACGGGGATTCCGCAGATTGTKGAGGGTTCAGCCTCCTGATGAGTYGGTGCAACTCCGACGAAACAATCTTGTTATCATCAATTTTTATTTTTTTCAGTTCTGGTTTGGAACTTGATTCCTTTTTGCTTGTTGTTCTTTTGTGGTGTTACTTTTTGGCTTTGAGTTGTTTGTCTGCCCACCCGCCTCCCCCATACCCTTCAGCCTGTGTCTCCACCGTCTTCCATGCCCTGTTGTTTTTTGTTGCTTGTCTGCCCGCCCACCTCCCCATACCCACCACCCTATGCGTTTTTTTTTGTTGTTTTTCGTGCTTGATGTCTTGTGTTCGTTTGCCTGCCCGTTCGTCTCCCCATACCCTCCAGCCTTCGTCTTTTGCTTCGCTGCTTTCGTGCTCTGTTGCTGTGTTGTTTGTTTGACCGCCCGTCTCCCTCATGCCCTCCAGCCTTTCTCCCTTGCTGCCCACTGCTTGTCTGATGCCTTGGTGGTTTCAGCCCTTTGCTTTACTGTCTTTCGTGCATTGCTACCTTTGGCATGTTGCTCTTTCGCTCGCTGCTTTTTGAGTGGGGCTTTTGGTTTGTGGTCTGTTGCTTTTTTGGCCTTTGCATGACTTTTGTGCGTTCGTCTCATAGGCATACCAGGTTACGAGCTCATATCCAAGTGTTGTCGTACCCATGCTTTTCGACGCAACATGCCGTGGCACGGTTGCGGCAGTATTGTATCGCAATAGAACACACACAACGAAGTTTTCCTTTTTGGCTGTCGATGGGGTCTGATTCCCTATCGTCTTGTTGTTGTCGCGTGTATGGCCTTCCAACACTTTCTGCGTTCTGTACCTCCTAGCTTACTGAATGCGCTTCCCATGCGAATAAAGGTCATGTGCCTGCTAAGATTGTCCCGTCTATGGCCTTTCAACACTATTTGCGATCCGTGCCTCCTTGCTTGCCTGGATGCGCTTTCCAAGTGAATATAGGTCACGTGCTGCTTGGTTTCTTTTCTCAGTTTACTAGCGGGACTGCCGCTGTTTTGGACGTGGGTTTTGTATGTGTGTGTCTGTTTGTGTGTGCGGAGTCCGTGGGGCACCAGGCTGAATGGCCTAGTGCCCCAGGACACTAGTCCATCCAGCCCTTCCTCACGGAGGGACAGCGGGTGGGTCACACACAGACACACACACACACACACACACACACACACACACACACACACACGCACACACACACACTCCGTTTTATGTTTGTGAGTCTTTCTTCTGTTGTCTGTTCTTCCCCTGATTTTTTCTATCTTTCTTTGTGTGCCCAACTGTGGCATACTGCATAGCCACACGGGCCCTGCAGGGCCCGTCCCGGACATTCAGCCTAAAAGCCTAAAACTTAGGGCTTACAGGCCCCGGTCGTTTCAGCCTGAAAGCTGAAAAAC